CAAGGCAGCTCGGCCACGGTGCCGCCGCCCTGCCCCTGTGCCACCCCTCCCGGCGCTGCCACCGGCTGTGGGGGCCCAGTGCCGGGACACGGAGCTGCGGGAGCCGGGCCAGAGGAGGCCACAGAGGTGCTCGGAGGGCGGGAGACAGGCTGGGAGTGTTGGGGTGGTTCAGGAGAAAAGAGGGCTCCAGGGGGACCTTGTAGAACCTTCCAGTCCTGAGAAGGGCTGTAAGAGAGCTGGAGAGGGACTTCTGACGAGGGGCAATGGCTTTAAACCTAGAGAGGGGAGGTTTAGATGATGTATTAAGAAGTTGTTCCCTGTGGGGACAGTGAGGCCCTGACACAGGTTGCCCAGAGAAGCTGTGGTTGCTCCATCCTTGGATGTGTTCAAGGGCTGGGTGGGGCTTGGGACAACCTGGGACAGTGTGGAAAGTGTCCCTGACCCTGGAACAAGGTCACTTTTAAGATCCCTTCTAACCCAAAACATTTTCTGATTCTGTGATTATCCTAAATCCTCTGAAATGATACTTTGGATCTTAAATCCTCTTCCTTTTGCCACTCTCTTCTGACTAAAAGGCAATTTCTTTGCAGCTACTACAGTGTCTTGAAGCATGACTACTTATAATTTGAGTTTCTTCAGTCACGGTGCTGGTGCAAGCTCTCGTCTCCCTTTCTGCTCTAGGTACCCACATATTGACTTCCAATATGTTCTTTACATCTTCACCTTCGTAACTGTTTCTTTTAGACATGAAATGAATCAGGCTGGAAAACTGATGCTTTGCCATTTCTTACTTAAAATAAGAGAAAATGGGGAAATAATATGTGGATGAGGCGTTAAAGACAGGGACTACTTAAGCTTATCTGTCACTAAAAGAAATATAAGTGTGTTATCATGCCCATCTTATCTACTCACACTCTATTTTACCACTTAATTAAATTTTCTCCTAATCACACTTAGCAGAGGCACATTGGGAACAAATGTGGGAAGGCTTATGGGGTAGAAGAATATATTAAAAATATCAATTCTCATTTGAGCTCAAGAATGGAGGGTATATACACACATATAGAGTTTTCTGTATTTTTAACTAATCCACCCACATACTGATAATATTAATAATATTATAATATTAATAATAATAATATGATAATATTTAATATTGGATATTAAATATTGGAGATTAACTAGACAACAAACAATGTTTTCCACATTGTTATGCCAATTGTCTTGCTATTCCAATACCCATGAATTAATCAAAATCAATATTATGTTCAAATATGTATTTAAAGTATGTAATGATTGATCATGGAAAGATAAAGACAATATCCTAACAGTTGAAGTTTCATTTATTGTTCACTTAATCTTGCTTTTTTGGCTTGTAGCAATATGAAAAAAAAATTAACTTTATTGTTTGAAATATGAGATTTTCTATAAACATATTTCTAAGTTTAGTTGGATCACTAATTTACATCATATGTGTGTATATATATATATATTTATGTATATGTTAGACACAGTAAAAAGAAAAAATATGGATAGTGCATTTTCCTCCATCCAGTTAAAGAATGGAGGCTTAAAATTTTAAATTTCAGTAACCACAACAGCTTCAGCCACCAATTTAAGTTCTGGTTTCATATAGAAGAAATGAGACTTTAGAAGTCATCCAGTCTAAAGTAGTGGTTTAGGATTTTTCTATAATCTATAGGTTGAGATAAACACCAGCCTGAGGCAATTCACACTGGTTTTATGATAAACAAGGAATTTTGCATCATTCTCTCCTTTTATTGAGAAAAATCCAGTTCAGACAGCTGCCTAGTTTATATCAGGAACTTGATTGCTATTAACAAGAACTAAAACCCAACCAGCCATCATGGTCTCTTAAATAAGGAGGATTGTATCATAAATTTCAATGCAAAAATAATTTCCATGCAAAAACATCTGTTTATAATGAAAACACTGGAATAATGGGATATATGACACACATAGGAAAAGCATGAAAGTGCCACTTCAAGACTGACAGATTAATTCTTAGAGGTCCAAGGCTTGGAGGGAAAACAAGTAGTTCTATTTGTGATAAAATAAATTCAGGAAAAAAGCAGGAGAGAAATCTACATCTAGCACAGGAAATCCCTGAGCCAAACAAAGAACCAACCTGCAGCATTTGGAATGGCAACCACATCTCCAATAGCAGCCAAAGGACTGGGACCACAGAAATCCCAGACATCATATTTAATCAGTAACAGAGCTCTCAGCCAAGCTCTCTGGAAGTTTGGAACCACAGAGTGGGAGAGCACTGAAGCTTCATCAGGCAGAATTTATGGGCAGAGGGCTCCAACCCTCACTCACTGTGACTGAACTGGAATTGAGACCTGAGCTGAAGAGGACCTGAATGCCAAGACCACTGAAACCTCCAGAGGCACTTCCAATTCCTGAAATCCTGAGCAAGGGGATGGAAAATAGGTGGAGAGAAGGGAGAAATAAAAGAGGAGGAGAAGAAATTCCCCAGTGGGAGGGGGTATGGGATTGCCAAATGCCTCCCTTCTCCCTGCTAGACAGGACTGACTTTTCCCACAGTGAATGTAGGACTGAAGATGGCAAGCATTAAAATGTTACCAAAAGCTTGAAGAGTTGGAGGAAACCATGAGGGGAAGTCAAGGGAATGTTGATAAAAGCAAACACTCCAGCAAGGAAACATGCAGGCCAAGAAAGTGTGTGTTACACACAGAATAGTAAAGAAGCTGACATGAACTTCAAGAAGCCATCAAGAAAAGATCAAAGTGTAAATAAGATCATAGAGGTCCTGCTTTATTTTTACAACAACTTGTTTTATGTGTCTTTTATGTGTGGAGAAAATAAATAAATAATCTTTCCTTTGAACCTTAATCAACTCACAGATCCCAGGAACAAAAGGGCTGATAGGTAGCAATCCTTGTTGTTTCAACAAGAGAAACAAGGGGTCTGTCCCCAGAGATTCCTCCTGGAAAATGTGGGATCATTCACCTACAGAAGCACGGGCTGCACCGACTCTGAGTGGAGCGCTGGCTCCCCGTGGAAAGGAATGTTTAATCTAGCAGATAAAAGTAGAACAAATCAGGCATAATTTGAAAAGCAAAGCAGCAAGTTTGTTTTCTCTTAAATGACTACGTACTAATATGATGGATTCTTTAATACACAAAAGCTGTAAAGTGACAGGTATCTTTCCAAGGGGAGGACTGTACTTCTAGTAGACATTGAGGTTTATATATCTGGGCAAAATTCTGAGCACAGCCACCTTTCTGGTCTCTGAATTGAGCATCTGAGGATAATGAACAGTCCCTTAAAGCATCTAAAAGTATTTATATGAAGAGTACCTTTACTCCTAAACACAACAGTTTCCCATCATGGCCATGCAGTGTAGTTGTCCTGTTCCCCATCCAAAAAGAGCAATTTAGGATTTGATAGTCTCCAAATGATTTTGCTCTCTGATATATGAGAAGCATTTGAAAGCTCTGGGTTTCTGTTCAGTGTGAAACAGGTTTGTCTAAATGTGCAGAGCCTTCACATCACCACCCCCAGCCCAAGCAAACGCAGATACTGTTGGCAATCAATGGTGGCAACAATCCAGCACACAGTGTTGTGCGTCACGCAACATGATTTTGAGCAGATCTACTTAAAGCAAGCCTGACACTAATGGTCTGCAAAAATAGACTTCCACTCTTTACAGTATTGATAGGGCTGAATTGATATTAAGAGTGGCAAAGTTTAAAAATTTCCCCAGTGAAATTCATAGTAAAACGTCATAGGGGAAACTACTGCAAAAATGAGGACCAGCAACAGAAACCAGGAAATGGTGAAACATTGATAAAAAGAAACAATCTGGGACCAAACTAAAGGAATATGCATTTTCACAGTAAAATTCCTGGAAGCCTATTCACAAGTAAAAAGGCATGATTTGTAAATGGACTTATTTTACCTCAGACCTCAGAACCTCAAGTGGTTCTTATTTTATAGAATCAAAGAGTTATGGGATGTTTTGGGCTGGAAGGAGCCTTAAAAATGATCCTGTTCCAATTCCCTTGCCGTGGGTGGGGACTCCTTCCACTATCCCAGGTTGCTCAGAGCTCCATCCAACCTGGCTTTGAACATTTCCAGGGATGGGGCAGCCACAGCTTCCCTGGGCAACTGTGCCAGGGCCTCACCACCCTCACAGTAAAGAATTTCTTCCTAATATCCAATCTAAACCTACTCTCTTTCAGTTTGAAGCCATTCCCCCTTGTCCTGCCACTACACACCCTTGTAAAAAGTCCCTCTCCAACTTCCCTCCAGGCTCCCATCAGGTACTGAAAAGGCTGCTATTACCCCAAAAACTTTTTTTCCATGCTGAACAAGCCCTCAGCCATTGCAGAGTGCCACTAGGCTGGTCAGCTGTGGACATAAATATGACACACTTGTGGTGGAGCTCTCAGTGGTTAATCTCAATTTAGAGAAATAGAATTAAACTACAGAAGTCAGGCATGTGACAAATGT